ATGCGAAAGTCTCCAAACTCTCACATTTTTATTTATAAAGCAAAAAGAATTGTTTATTTGGCGTTCTAGGAGGAGACTTTTTCCAATAACTCCTCCATTTTGTAACATTTCAACTTTCTAAAAATTAAACAAAAAAGCTGAAGATTGCGTTTATATCCTCAGAAAAAATTGAAATTTTTCGTTTAATAGTTACCTTCGAACAAAATTCCAAAACTTTGACCTATTTTTAGAAGCCTCAGAGTGGTGCACCCTCTTAATTGATACAGACGTTTCGTATTGCGAGAATGTGATTGAATAAGATGTTTAATTGTGGTACCACTGGTGTGTGTTGTGACATTTTGTTCGAGTTTGGCAGACTCGTGCGTGACGGAGGGTTTCTGGGTAAGGCGAATACGAAAATTCGATAGAAAGGGGTGGAAAAGTTGCGTTTTAGAGGCTGAAACAGAGATTGAAGACCTTAAATGGTTTTGTTCTTTAATGCGAATATTTGGTTCGGAGTCTGCTTTTGAAGTAAATTCTATGCATTTCGTGGAATTTAAGAGTATATTGTTGTCAAAGGTTCAAATTATCAATTGTTATTAATTATAAATTTCTAAAGTACTGCTAAATTAGCCTCCTATAACATTTTGGAGTGGTTCATTGTTGCTAGTGGGTGGAAGTAAGCAGTTGACCATTTAGATGTGTATGAAATGTATAATACAAACTGTAGAATCTAGTAAAATTCATTGAAAGAAACAAGAAAGTCTTCCCTCGCAAATTTCAAGAAATTAATTAACACTGTTTTTTAAAGCCATCCGTCTGGATATCTGAAATTTCCTAAAATGGCTGAATTAAATTTCTGAAATTTTAATTTTCAATCCATCAAACGAAATTTTCCAAAAACTTCAAATTCGATATTACTTGTGAATCTTTGTATCTCCTTTAAGACAAATTTTGCGTATCGAATGCACACAAATGTACATAATATCAAACCTTAATATTGCGGCCATTATTTTCCAGATAGATATTTGGGCATAAATTTGACGAAAAGAGAATTGCAAGATTTATCAGCAATTTTTACGAAGAATTGCAATTGCGCGAGATTTACGAAAGGATTAAAAAGTTAAGGACATTATCCTCGAAGTTTGTTCCTCTACTCTTGAAGGTGCACGAAGTACGTCTTTACGATTGACGGGTTTAAATAAAAAAAATTTTACGGCTCGGTTCGACATTTCGGAGAAATTATCGAACATCTGTCTCTTCCATAAAAGACGACGGGAACATGTGACACATTTTTATGGCGGCGGGCCGCAGTTCACGAGGACGAGAACAGAAGGATACCGCGAATGGTACGGGCAACCGCAGTAGCAGCCATTTCGTTTGATGTAGATACATAGTGGTTAGGCGTGCGCTGCATTATTCACAAAACCTTAGTTGACCTTTTGAAATAGTGCAACTGTACACGTACACTGCCGTTCATAAGTATCGGGACACAATATTACGATCGTACGGAATGTATTATGTGATTCAAATGAAATTTCTTCGAGATGGAATGGCTTCTTTGCAATTTAGAGATAGGCACCTTGAGGCATCTGTTGAAAGACTGCCACAAGTTGGAATCTAGCGTTTTAACCCTTTCATTGCTGTTGGCGCTTATAGGCGGTTTAAAAATTTAGTCACACTGTACAGTTCGCGCCTTTTGGCGCACTTCTAGCCTAATTCAATCCTTAATCTTAGCTTGTAAGTATTTTTACGTTAATTTAATGCAGCAGATTTTAAAACGATACAGCAGAAATAAAAGATTCTGTGGCTACGGTTGAACATTTACTGTTACGCACTAAAATCTGCCGTAGCGAAAGGGTTAAGAGAGGAAGATATAGTAGAGGGCAGGACAAATGAAAATGTGAGAAATTGGTTGAGAGGTATAGAAAAAAAAGCTTAAAAATGTGATTTTTGTATATAGGATAAGAAAAATAAAGATATGTATATAGATGTAAGATTAAATTTAGACTTGAGGTAAGATGTTTCAGGTGCAAGATGGGAATGTAAGATAGATATAGGGCTTTAGAGGTGACTAGTAGGTATTCTAGATGTATGGGAATGAGTGAGAGTAGAAAATCTGTAATCCAAGTCTTCTTTCTAGGCTGTGAAGCCGGAAAATAAGTAAATTACATTTCTTCGACAAAGTTGGTGTTATATATCAGTAAAAATATATGTACAGGTTGTTCACTCTATTAATTCTCAGTATTTTTCTCGTAAGCGGTAGATTTGGGAGGGAAATAGAAGAGGACAATATTCCATTATTTCTCATACGCGATACAACGGTTCATTTATACAATTATTATTGTCTTAACTTGCATATTTTACCAATCACATAATAAAAATCGAACAAAGCTGTTTTATGTGAAGTTGTGACACGAGATTTTTGTTCGAAATTATTGAAATCATTGATAGGGAGGAAACCTTAATGTTCCCAAGTATACTTGTAATGAGACAATAATTCCTTGTACATACTTTATTCTACTTTTGATATATAGATTATTTAATTTACAGACGATGTTCGAAATCCGTTTCTCTCAAATTCCTACAGACATTTTGGAGTATACAGTAGTGAGAAATTGTGCAATCAGGATGCCATTGCTCATACTCAGCTGGCATAGCTCTACTATTAACTTTGCAAAAACCTTGTATGAATATCGTATCGGGATATTTTGCATTTGAAAAGCACACTGTGCACACTGTGCACACTGTCAAACCACCTAAATCACAAGCCACGTACTCACAAGCTTCGTTTTCATTACTGAAAAGCACTGATCCCTGCTCTCGAAGCTAGCATAAAAAATGCTTAATCTCGACAATGAAAGGAATTAGACCTATAGTGTATATGACATTTTTTGTTCACGATCACTTGCTAAACACGTGGTCGAAGTTTGTTGAATTCCTCATCGAACACATATGAACACGTATGTGCATACATTATAAATGAAAGAAATAAAGAAACTTTGACGAAGGAAACATAGCTAAAAAAAACCAAGTAAAATTAGACGAAAATTTCACAAGTACCCTCAGTATTTCACGATACTTAAAACTCCTAGAATAAAACCAACATAAAAGGAACGTTAAATGATTCCTAATGCCTCCTCGAGAGTTACTAAGCGCTAAGCTGCGAAACTTCTACTTTGCATTTCACCTTGATTACCCTAATTCGGTTACTTCATTACCAAGCTGCCACAGTGAAACATTCTGCGAGTGATACTAACTTTACTTTCACCAGATAAATCAAGCCTACCGAAAAAAGAAAGGATGAAAGAAAAGGAAAACAATCTTCGACTCGTTATCGTACAGGTACTTTCTTTTGTCACAATAGATGGCTTGATAAGCATTCGAAATTTTTCTGGGACGCAAACCCCATTGTTTTCGTCGATTGTCTTTCGCAATGCAAGAGCTTGTAATTTCGGATTCACAGCGGTTTCGCCTAGAGACGAAGTGCGAAACCGCACCAAGTGTAATTACGCCTCCATGACGGCGGAGCCAATTTCTGTGATGAAGAGTCAGCTGGAAAACTTACAGTAACGAGACTCATTTATTCTTCCTGTCTTTGTTCCCACGGAATCTTCTATCCCTCTCTTGCTATTCGAAAACAGTTTCGCGTTTCAACGCTTCGTACTCATCGGAACATCGGTTTCAGCTGATGTTTCGCATTATTCTGCCTCCCTTAGCTCAATTGTCCTAACTGACATTTCGAAACAGCCGAGAATAACGAGGTTTTATCATCATTTTCTTCCTGCAGTCATTAGGTTTCTTCGCTGAATTTAACAAGTTTAGTAACAGCCTGCATAATTCTTTGGAGTATATGTGCGGCCAGTAAATGTGTTATTGACG